AGTACTGGTTCAATATCGATTTAAAACTTGCCATTAATAGTAGTATTGAATAAAATAATATGTATTTGCTTTATTTAGATTCATAATAATCGGTGCATTTTGGAGGAAAAATATTTATTACATTTATTTTATTAAATTTGCAAATATAAATAAATAAGTTTTAACGTGGCATTTTAACAAATTTGGCCTATGTACATATGTGTAATTCAATATGCACGAATCGAATAATGAATTATTATTTAGTTTTAAAATGAAAATGATCAAATCAAAATTTGTGCTAAATTTTTAAGATTAGTAAACGCACAAACACTTTATGCTACTTTAATAAATGTAAATGTTTTTATTATTTATTACTTTCATCTTCTGGGAAAATTCGTATCGTTGCTATTGAAAAATTATATTAAATTTAATTACCCTAATTATTTATCTCACTTATTTTGTAACACTTTTCTATCTAAACGCCTTTTAAAAAACAACCACTTTACGAAATTAGACGATACAAAAAAGTCGCCCGTTCTATTTTGTATCGAACACACGGAAACACCTTCGACGGATTTCTCTCATACCTTTCCCTGTTTCTCATTTCTCCTCCGAGCTGTCTCGTATCATCACCGGCCCCTTTACGGCTCTGCGACTACGCTTACGGTTACGGAACGGAATTACTGCAATCGGGAATCCTTGGTGAATTGGACGGATAGCGGGGTTCGTCGACAAATGCGCCACCGGCGTTTCTTCGCTATTATTTCATCGATCGAACCAATCTATCGGCAAACACTTATTGTTGTAATTTGTTTGCTTTACGAAAATAACGGCTTCTTCTACTAGCTAATACCGGCGATTTTATTGTGTCGGCGTTTTGAAGGAGTAATTGTTTATCCGGAGCATCTTGTCTGTACGGCAGGTGCAAACGAGCCCCGCCGAATCAACAGTGACACAACATGTTGCGGTCCGGTTCGTAATCGATTATTCCGGAATCGGCCCGCCATTGCTTTCCCCAAACCGCCGGGATCCCGACCGCCCGCCGCGCCAACGGCACCGTGCCGCCCCCCCGTTCCTCGGCCGCCCGTCGGACCGAAACCGCCTCTCGGCCCACTCCGGTAATCCGATCTTCCAAGATGTAGACGCTTGGCGGCTGCATTCGAACGCTTCCATGCACCTCTCCAGGTTTTTTTGCCCTTCCAGATATTCTTTGGAATCGTGGTTGAAATGAGCATTACTACTACTTTTTTTAACTTTACTTATTAATCATTGCAATCGTGAGAATACTCTTGAAATATCGCGCAGGTCTTGTCTCTAGTTATATCTGTCCTTCTGTAACCGGTTGAGGAAACAAGTTTGTTCGAAACATTTTTGTGTTGGAGCTAAAAGATTGACTGAAATGTTTCGTTCGTGACTGAGCAATATCGGGCCCGGAATAAATCTCGCCGGAACAAAGTTAGATAGGGATTTTTTCCGGAACACAAATAGAAGCAGTTACGGTTCCGTGTCGGTCTGACCGCCCTTTTGTATAGGTGTATATATTTCTTTTTTTTTTCCTCGCTAATCCCATTAATGAAAAACAAATTGCCGCCAAGTTTGCCCGTGATTTTACGACGGATATCACGGAAATAAAGGCGTCAGATATATGGCGAAGGTAAGCTTATTCATTTGAAACAATATAAATCCCATAAGTGAAGTAATTTTTGGACATTATGGGCCAAAATTAGTTTGCTCGAGTTGATTAAAAATTATGAAAACATGGTTATTAGATTTCATCATTCGTACTTACCCAATTCTTCATCTTTTTTTTAATCCATTTATTCGAAACTAGGCGAAATAAAAAGGAATTCCGCCTGATTCGTGTACGCGAATAGTATGTGTACTCTGCACGTCCAGTTAATATTTGCACTTGTAATAAAAATAATTGGATTGCTAGGCTTCACCGGACTCGACCGGTTTGTTATTCGGACGTGAGTGAATAGAACAAAAAAAAGCAATAACATATAGTCTTTTCGAGCCGCCATTGTGACGGGTATTTTTTTAATTTTCAATTAATTTGTATTTATTGTTTTTTACACCACTCTTTGTCTCGTAAACTTGTAAAATTCGTTTCCCGTAAGCAATAAAATATGGCATCTCGTGCGATTATAAAACACCTTAAGCGATTCTTGTGGAACACCATAAAAACATCCCCTTTATTTTTTGTCCGTATTTAAGAAATTGCCCGCGGTTTTGGCAAAAAAGACATTTATATTTTATTCAGCGGACGGGGAAGGGGGTTGGTTCTCAACGTGAAATCCTTTTTTCCCTTCGAAGTTTGCCGAAAAAATACACATTAATACCGGGATTCCGTTTTGTCTTGTACGCGCCGCCGGGGTTCCTTTTAATGCAATGAAAACGGCACGAAGAGAGGAATATTTTTCTGTAAATGGAAAAAATGCGGAAATAATAATACAATTATGTTCGTTTAGCTGAAGCACTACGAATATAGGTCGAATATTCATTTTATGTAATGCGAAAAATGCTAATAGATACAATTAATTGGCGTCTGTTTGCTGATTTTCCATTGAAAATAAGAGTTTATTTCGGATTAAACGGGCACACTTGGGGGTGTTTATTTATATTACAATTTGCCAGCGCTGCCCCCATGCCGGTTGGGCAAATAAGCGCAGACAAGAAGGGGACAAACAGCACATCAACTAATGTACCAATTTCGCGAAAATAAACAAACTTTCCAAGTCATTAACTGCGCAAATCCTGCAATGAATTTTGTATTAGCGTTTGAACAGAAATTTAGTGTTTACCGGCAGGAGAGCGTTTTGCCACTTGGTGTTTACTCCAAAGTTTGGGAGTTCTCTCCGGCTGATTCAGCGGCGCGCGCTCATTAATTATTTTCTATTTAAAATAATTTAGTTATTCCGCTAATTAAATTTGATGATTTACAAATTAGTAGAAGGTAGGGGTGACGTGAAAATTCACATCGCGAGCGTGCAAACGTGTCGAAACTAAATTCCTATCAGTTAATAAATTTATAATCCCCGCGCCCATGTTGGAGCCTCTTAATATTCGAGTGTTCTAGACGCTGAATTTCTCCTTAAAGTCTACATAACGCACCTGGAGAATGATGATGATGCTTGCGCGTTTTTTACTTTATAAACAAATTATGTTTCCAATGAATTTCTGAAGAGAAAGGGCTCTTAATTAAAATCATAGTCGAGAGGTTTGCTGTATATATATATGTACTAAAAAATATTAGTTAATTAAGAATTTAGCATCCCCGTAGAACCCCAACAGGGCAAAAATCACGGGGGATAATGCACCTCAATAAAGACTGGCCCTAAACTATTATTAAATAGTACATACAAAACCAACTGGCTGCCGAAAACGACCATCAAAGAGAGCGAAGGACATTATGCCCCGAATTCGAAAGGACCTGAAGTAAGTTTGAAAGGGCCCTAGGCGGATGGGAACCGACAGAAAGTCACGATTAAGTGGATGATTTCCGCTCTCTTTCTATCCCCTATCCTTTGCCACAGCGGCGTCCCTAATTACAACCGTACATACTCAATTATACAACCTACATGCATTTAGAACACCTCTCGGACTAGAAATTTTAGTGGTGTTTAAATGTTTTGAGAGAGATCAAGAGCGAAGAATTTAGTTGACCTAATTTGGCATATTTTTTTGGGGGACACGTCGCTGAAACGCCCGTTAAATTTGCATGGGACGTCGTCTTTAGCGAATCAGCATCTCCCCGGAGTGGAGTTAGCATTGTTGTGTCGAAAGTGATCAGCGCCGGTGAGGGAAAGTCGGTTGGAAATTTAAAAGGAAAAATCGATTCGTCGGCGGATTTCGTACGGGCCCCTCTTTTACAACTTCCCGGATTAGTTTTTTTCGCCGATATTATCGCTTTTGCGAGCCGAACTTTGACCCGATTTTCTTCGTTAGCGGAGATGGAAATTCGGTCACTTCTTTTCCTTTACAGAAACTAAACATCTCAATTTCGCGCCATCGATTAAATTCTCTAACGATTCGCGTACCGAAGTGAACTGTTTTATTCCAATACACGATTCGAGCATAAAAGAAAATCCGCGCAATTCCGAACAGAGTCTTTAAGAATGTAATTGAATATTCCTCACAGGGCTGTAAATTTCTAATCACTCCCGGCGCGGATTTTATTACGAAAATTATCGTAAAATTTTAAAGCTGGATAACGTTCCTTTTCCGTTCGAAAAATTAACACTTTGTATATCCCTAAAGATTATTGTATTATACTCGCCATCTAAATAAATCGAACAATACGATTTCAGGAGCTAATAAGAAATATCGTGGGTGTTGAAATTGATTAAATAAAATGTATATATTTTTGGAATTTGCGATTTTGATGTTTAGAGAAAATGCCGTCCCGATTTTTCAACAACATTTCAACCGAATCACGTTCGGAGTTTAATTTTTTGCGCGATGGCAGCGTCGTTGTGGACGTGTCACACATGCATACAGTTTTCCATATGCTAAAACTGGAAAAACGTCCCCTAAAAACGCTGTCGGGTCCTCGAATTACTCTCTTACTGGTGCATAGCACGGTTGGTTAGTGCGAATTTCACTTCGAACGAATATTTTTCCCTTTACTCGCGAAATGAAATTGTTAATTATTCGTTAGATAATTCCAGTTAGTAATCAAACGCGTAATCTCGCAATAAAACTTACACGTAACTTCCGGGAAAATTGTCTATAAAATGCAATGTAACGAATCTCCTTTCGTTCGTGACCTTTGTTTTAAAGCGGTCGTAAAATTATATCAAAAGAGCATTAATTTCCCGTTATCTGTGTTCTCTAAAAGAGACGTTCGCTGACAAGAAATAAAATCTTAAACTCTAATTTTACAGTCGTTTAACGACATTTAAGTTTCCTCTAAGATCTTACACTATATACCTAAATTTTATCGACGCTAGAAACATTCTTATAAAAAAAATAGTGAACAATTCTTTCGCCCATAACTTACCTTAAATTTTTCGTTCCAGCACGCTGGCCATGAACAACAATCTGACGAACAAAGCGAACAACAACAAAAACAACAACAATAACAACAACAACAGCAGCAACAACAACAACCTGCTGAACGTGACCAACGCCAACGTGGTGGTGTCGTCGCAGACGCAATCGCAGATCGTCGGCGGCGAGCAGGAGCAACCCGACAGCGATACGATAAAGATGTTCGTAGGGCAAGTGCCTCGTTCGATGGACGAAAACGATCTAAGGAAAATGTTCGAAGAGTACGGCAGAGTCCATTCGATCAACGTGCTCAGAGATAAGGCCACCGGAGCCAGCAAAGGTAAAGAAAAACCATCACATTTTCATTTTTTTACAGAGGGTGATATTTAAATGATTCATTTAAAGTTACAAGTACTCATTACTCAGTTCCAACTAAATTGTTTCATCTAGCTCTTGGTACTTTATACTCTTCGAACAATGGTATGGTATTTCTGGAACACCCCGTGAGTGCTGTGATTGCGTTGTTCGGCTCACGTAGAAAGTTCGTAAAAAACGTTTATGAAAATTTTCGCGTTAGGGAAAAAATGGCGAACGTAAAAAAATCGCAGCTGCTTTGCCTATCCACTTTTGCATCGAACGTGCCCGAATGTTGCCATCATTATCATCGGCGGTCGATTTTCTCTTCCCTTGTTCTGAGCGAATTCGATCGATGCAACAAAAATAATAAGGCAGAAATCACGAATACGTGCCTATTAGGGGCATCGGCGGAGAAATCGGGGGTTATTTTGTATCCGTCTATCTTTAAATCAATCTCCATTAGAGCGACGAACTGGCTCTAAAAATTAGACCCTTTGTGTAAACTGTAAGGCAATATTAACCCGCAACATCAAGCAAAAGGCAAGGTAATCACGTCACATATTGCCGACGTTGATGTGGTTGTATTGCACCGGCTAGCTACTTTTTTAATCTTCCAAAACTTATTTTTGTTGGCTAATGGTGAAGTTGAATTTTGCGTTCGCTCCTAATACCTACTTTCATTAAAAAGTTTTTTTTTTATAATCCGATGGAAAAGAGATCAGTTTCGTAGATTGGAATTACGAGTTGTCGAGGAAAATGGTCGCAATTCGGTGGAGTCGGAGAGGTTTGGATTAAGATTTTTTTTTTCTAAATCGGCTGGTTTGTTTAATTACAATTCTTATACCAATCGAAGTTGCTTTAATTTGTATCGGAACGAAGTTGTTAGAAAGGAAATCCGAGTTGATAAACTGCATTCGACTCGGCTTTATGTAGTTTCGGGAATGGAAACTAATCCAACTTAAAAAGAAGTAAAATGTACCCCGACCATTTTGGTGCCGTTCTCGCGAATGGCTTTGGAGAAGTTCGATTACCGCCGGGCCGTCCGCCCCTGTCATTTACCTCGCTGTGTTTCGGCCGGTTTTCTCCGTCTTTCTCGTTACCTTGAAACTCCGACTTCACAAATTTTCGCAAATTTTCACGTTAGGTTTTCTCCGACTGGTGATTTATATCGTCGTAGCTGCCCCTCCAGCGCCCCCCTTCCGGCGACTTTCTTCCTTTCCGGAGGTTTTCCTAAAGGAAATAAATGGAGGTTCATTGAATAGAAAAGAGGACTATCGAAAAAGTGCTAAAAGGAAATGAAATCTATTCCTCGAATAACTTCAATTTCAACTTTTCTCGGGGCATTCGCACATGTATGTATTTTGTTCTTATTGTCGTTATATTTCGTGTAGCATTTTTGTTAGGAAGGAAAATAAGATACTAATTGAGTTTGCTGAAGGGGTTTAATTTATTTGATGTTTTAATTTCATTCTCTATAGTCGGTAACGTTTGTAAAATCGCGTTCGATGCGAAAATGCGGTATGAAAAGAAGCAGTTCCGAAAAAATAAAAAAGATTAAAAAAGGCTTACTGTCCAATTAGCGTTCACGCAAAAAGGGTTTTTTTGCGCGGAATTACCATCAACGTAAAATGTAAATGTAGCATATCCTTTTAATTTTCTTTCCTTTTTTTCCCACCCACTGTAGTCGTTTCTTCGTTTTTCCCGCATATAACTGTGCGATTAATCCCTGGGCTCGCCTTCTAAACCATAATCACCTCTTATAAATTTCCCAATCTTGTTCTAACTTTAATACCCACATCATCAATTAAATTTTAATTAATAAAAATACCGTATTTATGGTACAATGAATTTTAATTACGCTATATTAAGTATCTAGATGGCTGAATGTGTTCGTTCTCCCGGACTATTTCTTCTACTTTCTTTCGTTTTTTTTGTTCGAGTTTCTCCGTTCGAAAATAACTCTCTATTACTTGCTTGCGGTGAACGACGGAGAAAGTACAAACGGTTTATGAACCCTGAACACGGGATTAGGGCATAATTGAAAATTACGGAATTAAAACATTCCGGGCGTTATGAGCGCCGTGAATCGAAAATGACCGGCGTTTTATTTGCTAAGTATTGGGGTATTTTTGTAAGCTTGCACAATATTATTTTCGGCATAATTTAAAAGAGCGTTTAAGATTATTATTGATTGAATTTAGGACGTATGAAATGATGCGCTTATGTATATTAAAAAGCATTTTTCAATTTTGTCGAATTCTCGAAAACAATCCGTGTAGGAATATAATCGTTTGTTTGTGCAAAGTCTGCTCACAATGGGATCGAAAAACTAGAAACAAACGGGAATTTATCTATTATTTGACGTACCTATACGTAGTAGTAAACAAAAACCTTGTTCACGCTCCGCCGCCATTCAATACAAGTAGAAATGAGAATTTTTTTTTCAGTTTGCTCCAAGTTTTCTTTTTTGTTATTTCCATCGTGAATTCCGTTCGATTCATCTGCCTATTTATGGGTTATTCGCTCTAATTTCGAACGTACCATTTTTAAATTAAATTGACCGAAAGTTCATATCTCTGTCTGACACCTTCGCTAAATTGTAAATTTATATTCTCCGGGTAGAAGTTGCTAATCAATTAGGATTTCCTAACCAATCAAAACCGTTACCTTTCTGACAAGCGACTGACCTAATTCGTCTTCTGACGGATCGCTCAGGCACAAGAGAGACAAATAATCAATTATTAAGAGAACGAACTGGGAAGGAAACGGACATCCACCCGGAAAAACGGGAAAAGACGCTCCGGAATCGTATTAAAAAAATCGAACAATTGATCATACGAAGGAATTTATCAGTCGCCAGGGGCGTGCATAAATTACCCCCGACAAGTTTAATCTCTCGGTATGATTTAAAAAAAAATCTCTAATCCTTTAATCCCCATCTCCGCGTATATATTTCACCGCAAACAACTAACCCAATTTAAATCTCAACTCGACCGAAATAAAAAAATAACTGGAAAGAACAACTCCTCTAATCTACTTTCAGACAAGCAACAAGCAGTATTTTCCGCGAAACAAGCGTTTCATATACCCCATAAAACATGGCCCGGTAACTTTTCTCTCGCCGAACTGCCGCATTTTAATTAAAAAGTTGAAGTACATCGCGCGGGAGTTGTCGCCCGTGCGGGGTGAGAGTTGCGGCCGATTCGAATCGGAACGGCGCTTACCTGGGTTATAGGTACAATGGGCGCGTTTGTGCGGCCCCCAACTTTCGATGCGTTCGCAAGTCAATGGAGTTTAGGCGATGTAACAATCGGGGCCGGGGTGGAGTTGCAGGAGTTTCGGGAGTTTCGGCGGAGGAAGAGAACGATCGCATAAAAGGCCCTTTGTTGGGGATATTGGCGTGGAGTTCGGAGGGTAATAAGTGGGAAATTTGTGTAATTGGATTTTGATTTAAGTGAGTTGCGTGAAAGCCATTGTTGGCTCGCGGACAATATCAAATTGGGGTCTCTAATTTATTTTTTGAGCTCGCTTTATCGGAAACGTATTTATCTCTCCGGGATCGAATCGCGCCGGAGTTTTCTTCGTTTCCGCCAAAATAAAGAAACATTTTTTTGCTGGATTTGCGCCGTACTTACCCAATTTTTTATTCATTTCGGAATTTGATAGCCATCTCTCGACAAACGTTACATTTCTCTTTTGTGTTTTACATAAAAGGAAACTTTACCCTTGCGGAAAGTGAAACGGTAAAAATGTTCGGGAAAATGAAAACGTAATGTTGCGTATTTGATTTCACCGCCTTTTTTTCCGAATTGTTTCTACACAACATTTGTAACGGGAATTAATTTATTGACGAGTAAAAACACAATCGTTTTGTTTACAATTTTACAATTTAATTTCTTAATTTTGGTGGAATAATTTTTGTAAATTTTGGTGTATTTTCATTCAATCGCTCTAGTGATGTATACATTTTGGCGGATGCACAACGACACCCGCCAATTTGCAAGTTTTTTTATACACTTCGAATTTTGTAAAACGTTTTCTTTTTATTTCCAGGTTGTTGCTTTGTTACGTTTTTTACGAGGAAAGCCGCCCTGCAGGCACAAGATGCTCTACACAACGTCAAGACGCTGAATGGGGTGAGTAAATATTTCAACTTTAACGGGCGCGATTCGAATTTCATAACGAGCGAAAATATTTTGTTCGCACAACGACATTCGATCGGTGGAAATTGTCGGTCATTACAGGCTAATTAGCTTCGAACCATCGGACCATATCGCATCCGAAATGGCCTCTCACTCAAATAACAGGGATATACGGCTATAATCCTTTGCCCATCTATCACGTAACACTCGAAACGACAGCGCGAATCCACGTGTCGTTCGCAAAGCCTACCGTGATGGACACGAATCGGGCGCGACGTTGCCGACCCTTCGGTTTCCTGCGATCTTCGTACAATTTATTTTTTTGCAAAACAAAAATCCGACGCGGAATTCAATATATTTTCCCGTCTTCCGTCGACGAGGTGAAATATTAATGGGATGCATCCATTACGAAATTACGTTCGTAAGACGTCGACATTGATGTACACGCTTAATGCATACACAACAAAGCCTCCGAAGAAATGGCGGAACGTAAAATGCGGAGCATTCGAGACATACGAGACGGTCGTCGCGACGTTGAAAAGCTGTCAGGTGGTTGCATCGAAATATCCTCGAGCCGATTTTTTGGCGTAATTATTTGCAAAAAAATATTTGCTTGCAATTAAACGGTTAATTTGCAACGAACGCGACAATTTGTCAATCTATTGTATGCACATCGTGACGCGTACGTGCACATAAATGCATTCACGTCAGTGAGGATCTTTAGCAGGTGTTCTATGCGCCACACTATCAAGGCTTCTGAACATACTGATACAATTGTGAGCATTCCATGGAGTATGTTATATAATAATGCGATATGCGTACCAGACAATTGTCTAAAAAATGAATTATGACCGTTATTAGACGTCTTAATACTAATTAAACGCTACAACAATGGAATTCGTGATTGTTAAATTCAGTTACTGATCGGGGCCGATAAATTGAGGGGTAACAACCGGCCTTTTTGCAACGTAAACACGTAATTTGGGGAGAGGCGCGAGCCCGAGGGCGGTCGAGAGGGGCAGGTGTTTGTTAAACAGGAAAAGTTCGGAAAATGAAAATAAACCGAAAGAAAAACGACCTGTACAGGCCCAACCTAAAAAAACCGGGGTTGCTGTATTCGTTTTATTTTAACCGAAATACACTGCTATATGTAGAAAAATCACTGCCGAGTCTTAATTATTGCTGATTTATTATAATTGCTGAAATTGGATATCTACATTATGTTGGATTATTTGAGGAAAAGCTGGAATCGTGGAGTTTCAGATTAAAACGTCACAACCGGCGTGTTTGATAATACAATTTCAAATTTTTGCACCAACTCGCCGAATTTGTTCATGCCAAACGTAATACTGTTTAATTATTAATTTAATGGAAATTAGGAAAAGTATTTAATGTCATAAATATCAAATGCGGTTATTAAATAATATATAACATGTACGATGAAATCTAATAGGATCGACTTTAATTAACCCGATTCGATATTAAATGCATTAATTTCTATTAACTATGCATTTATTGTTTCACGTGGTCAATCAAACGTATTTAATCCCAATAAGTTAATCGGATAACTATGGCATTTTTCAGATATCGGCTAATGTAGCATTAATATTGGGCATAATCGCTTTTGATAATGCCAGTCACGACATTTTCAAATATATTTTTATACATTGTTTATTCATTTGATTTAATTAAGCGAACGAGATAATAATAAATTGCACCGCACCGAATAATTTATAATTTACTCTCCTCATCCATCATATACGTTTTCGTATACGCCCGGACTCTTTGATCTCCAGTTTGACGCGCTAAAAACAAATTACTATACGCTAGATGGTCGTAATTTATCAGGTGAAATAATATAAGAAACTTTCTTCGAGATCATGCAGGTACATTCGAGGGGAAATTCGAAATGACTTTTATAGCGTCGCCGGGGGCGATCCGGGATCAGAAGTGGGAATAAGGGCGAGAAAGGGGGACGGGCGGCGAAGAAAATGGAGAAACGCTAACCGATCGTCTTTTTTCCATTCAGTCGGCACGGTCGGCTGTCAGTCGATGCATGAGTCCGTGTTTTACGTGCGAGGAATTCGACAGGATTTATATATTTTTTTCTGCTTCGACGGGATATTTTTTTTCGTGGCAAGGAAAAAAGTCGCTGACCTTTCATGCATAATTTTTAAAAAATGCTTCGAAAAAGCGGTAATCTTGATAAAGCTCTTGCGAATTTTTCAATGGTTGTAAAAAAATAATCTAGCAACGAGAAAGTATCGTTAACATTAAGCCACAGCATTAGGTCATAAATCAGCAACAATCATTAAAGAAACAACGCCTGTTCTGCGGGTTGCAGAAAACAGTTTTAGAATAAATTTGGGTTTTAATTTTACTGCTCGAAACGTAACGGAAAGAAAGCGGGGAATTTTCCGCGTTGAAGCGACCGCCGCTTGTACAAATTCGAAATGGGTAATCAAATTTTAGCGAGAGCAACAGACGAAAATTTCCATTTTTCTTAACGCCGACCGACAACCATTAAAGAAACATTATCGCGCCGTTTTTCTTACCTCTTTCGTTTCGCCCGTCCGATGGCCTCGTCGTTATGCGGCATCGGTTCTTCCCCCTTGCGACTTCCCGGAGTCCTCTCTAAAAAATAACTTGCAACAATTATTGCTTTTTTTTAATACCAGAATTTTTATCACGCTCTAAGTAATTTATTTGAATTATTCACTTAACTTGCTTTTAATTGCAAGCTTCAAACATTTCGATCTCCCCGTATTCAGTTTGTCTTGGTTTGATTTAATGGGTTGAAACGAGTCCGTCCTGTAGGAAATTAGAGCGGACGTTTCTCACGGGCGTTTTCTGCGAATTAGGAAAAACCCGAGAGCGAATGCGGCATTGCTGATTGGCAAGCAAAGCGGAATTTCCGATAATTGTCTTGAGAAATGAAACAATGGGAGTTGAGTACTGCAAAGTCGGCGATTTTTTTTTTGGAAGTGACGTAACGTCGATTATTCCACGCCGAGATTTTAATCTCGAATTAATGAATCGTAATTAACAATTAAGGCAGGGAATAAATATCCAATTAGGGGAGATTTCGTGTTTTGTAAAGGTTTAAAAAGGTGTGTAAGTTGCCCTTTGAATATAAAGACATTTTCCGCTTCCGAATTTTTGCAAATTTATATACGCAATTTCCATAAATTAAAAACTATTAGGTGAGGCGCGAGACCGCGGATGGGCCCGGGTATATTTTAAAATTACCATCGAATTTCCACGCAGATTTACGACTAATCTTGTTTGGTGGAAGTTCCGAAACTTTCAAGTTATAAAGTTGAGAAAACGCCCCGTCGAAATTCTCAAAATTAAGGGAATGTAGAAATGAAGAAAAAAAGTTTTCAGTTTCTCTCATAGGCACGAAATTATTATCCATTTTTTCGTTACTTATGGCACTAATAAAAATGATGGAAGATAGAGTGTAGACAAATTAGCTTTTGGGAAATTACTTTTCAGGAATTAATTGTTATATAAACTGGAGTTCACTTTTGTAATTTTTTTCTTCTACATGTTTCTATTAAAAATCTTTTCTATATCGCTACATTTCTCAGTACATTTTATTTACCTAAGCTAAGAATGTAATCGTTACTTTAAGAAATTTATTTTTAACAGATAAATAGAACATTTTTCTTCGAAAGCGCCTTTTAAATAATTGGATATAGTCGGATTCTTTCGATTTTAAAAGCACCTCCGGCATTCCCGTACAAGGAAATTATTTTAGTTTCGATGTAAGCCTGTTTACTGCAGTTAATGGAAGCATTAAATCTGATTTATTCGAGAAATGTATATCGCACAAAGCGCGTTTCGTTCCGCTCGTTCGCCCGGCGAATTCCCGAACGCAGTAACGTATAAACTGCTTAACTCGCGGCGCGTTTAACGTATTTTTCCCGTCGATTAATACCGAAAAAAAATGTATTTTTTAATGGCGATTGACCGAGCAGCGTCTCCGTCACTGAGGGCCGACGCTCCGGCGTATTTTACAGGCTCGTAATCACTATACCCGCAACCAGATTTCGTCTGAATTAATGGTGATTAAGGGGCTTTGAATCGGTTTGTGTTTCGGGTATTTCGAGATTAGGAAACGTGTTGTAGTTTCGACGTCGAAAACGAGAGCGCCGACGGCGCACCGCTGCTAAGATATTTGCGAATCTGAAGCCGGGAAATTGTGTTTGGCGCGTTAACGGAGATGTCGCTCGCGGCGCTGAATTGATTATTAGGGTTAAGGGGGTTTGTGGATTTGCCTGAGTACTCGCCTATAACCCGATGTACCGGAGCACCCTTTGAAATTAGTTGCGAATAAAAATGCGCCAGCTAATAAGGAAGTTCCTGCATGAATGCGGCAAATTACTACACGCAAAAACTTGGCGATTGTTAGTGCTTTAATTAGTCCGTTAACTAACTCGACGTCGGCGTCGCGACGGGTATAAAGTGTCGGGCGCGCACATCCCTCGAGAATCCTTCTTGTACGTGCGTCTTTCTTCGTTGTTCTGTCGGTTTTAATTCTCTTACTGTCTGTTTCAGATGCATCATCCCATTCAAATGAAGCCGGCTGACAGCGAGAACAGAAATGGTAAGTTGTTATAATTTGTTTTTAGTATGTATCAGAAAAACCCTATTGAGATCATCTATTAACAAACATTAAAGAAGTCTTCTTCTCAAAAAAATCATCACTAAATTGAAGAAATACTGATTAATAGGTACGCTGATATGTTGGTTAAAACTATTTGTTGAGTAATGATTTGAATATTATATATGGCATTTTGAAGTTAAAAACTTATCGAGATGTAGATAAATTACTCGTGTAATTAATTTGAGCAGTGTATTGTAAACAATTAGCGTCGTTAATTTTTGATTTTCGACCCGGCGCGTCCGCCATTAATTTAATTTCTACTTACCCATTCGCATCTATTTGTTTCAACGTTTTTCATTTTTCCGAGCGCTGCAAATATTTGATGTCGCGAAAAAAAATATTTTCATTATTGTAAAATTATGTCATCCATAAATTAATACTGACAATTGGAAGGATATTTTTTATTTTTCGTTGATTAATTATACATTCGCGCAGTTTTTCATTTCCGTTTTTCCGTAGGTAATCGGGAAAACTGAAATAATGTCGTCCGACTCTCGATTGAAAAAAAGTTGGTAAAAGTCCGTATATACTAGAATAAAACACGCGAACAGTTTTGTGTACGCGGCTCCTTTTTTTTGAGCTCATTTTCAGCTTTTGAAAGGACGTCCGCCCCGCTCTCTAATTTACCGTTTCGGAGTTGGTATTTACACAGTGGCGCGCCCGCTTCATTTCTACGAAATATATCCTAATGTTAAATTAATAACTCCCGTTACCACCGCTGCAATTCAACTCCGATACGATTTATAGCGAAAATTCCCCAAAAAACTTTGGACGATTTAAATGAATAATACAGTATGTTACCTAACTGTAACTACTTACGGAATAAAAACGATTTGAATTTACGCTGGGGGCGCTAGAACTGCTGCGGAAGATTACATTGTTAAATTTTAGTTAAGTTTTGCATAGTATAACCTCATCCATCGTTCTCTCTACTCGTAACTGTAACTTCCAGTTGCAAACGAGAAATAATTGTGACCTTCGCAACAATTTGAAACTGACATAAATTTAGGCTACATTGAGCACTTATGTTTGCCGGAATTTACGATTGCAAATAAACGCATTCGAAGCAGGATCGTAGCCGGGATATTTATCATCCCGTTATACAGAGTGATACAATATAAGATAGCTATAAGTATATAGTATAATCTTTAATTCGTACATTAATCTTTAGGTGAGATTAATACGAGTATGTTTGTTAGAAAAAAGGAGTTGTTTGAAATAGTGGCGCATGTACTAATGCGCCTTTCGTTTATATGTTTCCTTTTTGCCCCGGCGATTTTCGAATAATGTGTGTATAAATTTCGACGAACCGGCTATTTTCGATAATAGCAGTCGATTTGCATAAAGCAATTTCGAAAGTTTTGTCGAAATCGTCTCCCGGGTAAGTACGTACGTGACAAATTTTCCCGAATTTAATGCATCCCCCTCTTTATTACTGTACACGTAACGCAGTTTATTCCGGCGAACGTTCAACTCTTAACTGATGACTTCTTTGTAAATAAATCTTTAGAAAATTCCGCAACAAAGGATATCCAATTATGAGACCTAATACTTTAGGAAAAGAGAAACCGAAGGAATTTTTCGTCGTGTAATTAGCATAGGGAAAATCATACCCCGACGATGTAATGTAATTTGATATTAAGAAGGCGAAAAGTTAGATTAACCGTGCTCGAAAGAGACCTACTTCTTAAAGAGGCCTCTACCGTGACAACTTTGATTTTATTAAGTTTCATTTTAATAACTCCTCCGGTGAAAGAGGCGAGAGGGAGAGAAAAAAAAAACGGTCGCATTCGAGTCGGATTTTGTTTGCGATAAAAGCTTTGTGTCTTCAGTTTCGACCTGTTCATACACTTTTTTTTGTCAATCATCTTAATGGATGCGAAGGGATGTTCGCAAACAGAACTTGACTGGTTAGTTGACGAGAGCATCTTTTTAATTTTTCGTAGGGAATGTTCGGAAAAAAGAATAATAGTCGAGGAAGAGTGCGTTCGGGTTTATTTTGCTATCTATTTATTCAGTCCGCGATTGAAGTTCGACATTAAATCGAAATCAAATTGAAAAACAAACGTTCGGCATAAAAACGTTTAATGATCGATAATAATAACCGAAACACGGCATGTTTAACGCGAATGCATTTTGTATGTAATTAAACGGGTGCTTAACATGTAAAATTACGATAGTAATGGGTATTAACTTTGATCAATTAAAACTACAGAGTGAATGTTTTAACAAATTAAGCCTTTCGATTAGAAATTTAATCTGAAAACGTCGATAGAAGTGTACTAGTCATTTAATTCGCTCCAACATAGGCCCGTCGATTTTTTTGCCATCCATCCCGAAATTCGAATCCCGAATTTCTACATTCTAATTACCTCAATTTGTCGAAATTCAATTACGCCCGCCCGGCCGGATTGGCGCTCCACCGTCCCAAATCGATAGCGCCCCGCTTATGCGAAATAGTATCGAATAACTGGTCTATTATTTTGTTTATTATTTTGCGAGATCGTATTTTGGTTGTTGTTGCTTTGCTTTGTTTAGGAACGGGGCGTCGCGTAATGGCGAGCGGCTTGTATTACAGATTATTTCGATGGAACCCAAAGCGCAATTAACAGTTAACTCGCTATACGCAAAAATTATGTTATGTAAACTGTAGGGAATTGTAAAAATGCTAGTTCACGTAGTTTCACATAAAAATTTAATTGCTATTAAAGATAGTAAGATTTAGATATGTCTTTAGATAAACTCATCAATGTAATGAAAAGTTTATAGGATAGCCAAGGATAGCCAAATTCTATTGATGATTACACACTAATTGATTTTTTTAAACAAAAATCTTGGTTAATAAGAAAATAATGAGATTTGGCAACAATGTTAATAGTACCTGTTGTGAGTACCTACTAATATACTTACCGTCTAGCTAGGAGGCACCACAGTAAGCGAAGTAAACTGTTTTTTTGAATTTTTATTACATTAAATGTTATACAAGTTTGTTATAGTACAGGCGATATAACGAAATAACAATACGTACAATTAAAGAGTACAGTTTAATTAGTCACATGTTGAATTTCAAGCATGATTTTATGATTTTTTATTGAATCCTCTTCGGTTGAAAATAAATTTTGAATAAAATGGAACTCACTCTACGAGAATTGACCATTAGAATTGAGTCAGTAATATTTAAAGATACGATCTTCCGTACTAAAAAAATCCAGGTAATTCACACCTAGACTGTAGACAGAGTCCGACAGGCGACCGAGAGTCAGTCTACCTTGCTCGTTTCCACTTACAACGAATCAAAAGTCGAGTACCCTTCCCGTAAGCGTGCATTACCGCTATACAGGGCGGAGTACTTTAGACGACACCGTTGAAAGATAACCTCTAATTGAAAGATAATTACAAAATCCTATCGTTAATTATTTCAAGGTAGTCGTCCTAATGGCTTTCGGGGATTTTTCTAATCGTGGGCAGATCCGTAAAATTTGTAAACAAACTTGCGATTATACCCGACTTGGAATATTTTCGTTATCTACTCGCTTTCCTGTTGGCCTGGCTTACTCATCTTTGTACTTAATTATTTATTACACCGTTAATTAGCTGTACGCAAGCATAGATATGTCCTAATTAACAATCACAAATCCATCATAATTTTTATGGTTTCCACGAAAGATTGCAGCGCATCAAACGAGAATGAAGTGGTGAAAAGGTGGCACCGCTCGAAAGGTGGGTCACACTGTACGCACATCACTCATTCGTCGTCACATACACCTAGTGCACATTAAGCAAAGTCGCCTTAGCCTGTGACTATGCCGCTTGCTTGAACGTGTATTCCACTCAAACTCTACGAAAGTCAAGCAGACGATTTGCAACGCGCCGAGCGTTTGGACGTCGATCAGTGTAACTTGCGCGACGCGCCGATCGAATCCGTCGACCGGTGTAACAGAAAAATTAAACGCGATATTTTGCGGTCGTCGCGCACGTTTTTTTTTTACCTTAATTTATTCGTTTGTATCTCTCGACGACTTGTTGTTCGTTTTTCGGTTTGTATTTATTTTATCGTCGCGAAACGTTGTGATGGTTTTTGTGAATTTCGATGAACTAGTGCCATGAAGAGTCGCATCAAAAACGGAATTATGGCTCCATATCCTCCTATTAATTCTTCGTATTGGCAACCGGCTCCTACGACCGCTCCCTACTCCACACCAGGTATAGCTATGTTTTTCTCAAAATATTTATTCATTTCCCTCGTATCAATATTTCGATCAACATACCTGTATAGAAATACCTATACATACGAGGAAGCTTCCCCAATTCATCCATCAACATCACCCATATATCTATAGTCTTTTTCCTCTCTATCGGTTCATTAGCACAGATAAGTGAATCGAGCATAATTTTTCACGAATAGAGTTTCATGTGTCATGTTTGTGTCTTATCGGGTGGAATAATGGAAAACAAATAGAGTAATCGGCCAGCGATGACGCTGCCATTCTGGAATCGAAGCTTCGATTTCTGATTGCGTTAAGTGAATAATAAAGACGAGACCGGCGTGTAAATAATATATATTTTTTTTGGATTGCGTCATCGGAAAATGCGGCGCAATCAGAGGTTTTCCGAGAGGAAAACTGTTCAACCACCTTTTTTTTGATTTAATTTTTACAAATTCGCCGCGTGCGTTGGGAATATCATTGTCGTGGCGAAACTACTAATAGAAATTTGCCGGATATTTATAACCTTATTAATTATCCTGCCAATGAGCTGGCAATTATTGTTTTTTTGTAAATTGTAGCGTGTCTGTTTCCATTATTCAATTTTTTAAATAGTTTAGGTTAAAGTTGGTACTTATCAATGACTTGGAAAGATGAATAAGGTATAATTTGTGGTTGTTTTTTTGTGGATGAAAAAGGAGAAATCGTTGTTTCAAATATGAATTTAATTCGCCT